TCGATTTTCAGTACAAATCGGCAATTTCATACTTTAACCCCTATTATATTATGTAGAAAATACGAAGAAAAAGAAATAGTGTTGAAGAAAGTTAGAACTATATTCGTTATTTTAAACCAAATCACAAAAGACTTATCCTAAAAATCCCAATAATTACAAATTCAAAGTTTTTGTTCAAAGTGATAGAAGATAATGTGATTTAAGTGAAAGTGAAAACATAAGTATTGACTCCCGCTGCGTCCCGAAGACTATTTAAAAAACCCAAATAAGTGAACTAATAATAATAACGTACACTCTCAACATAGCCCCGCACTAGAGAAACCCTGTATCGCGGGTGCCATGGACACACACATAGAGAACCACTAATTACACCCAAACTCACGAGATAAATAAATGTAGGCCATACAAATATTTCTCCCGGCCCATCCGGCATGGTAACCGTTTGGCGACGGAGGCAGTAAGTTATTTAAGAGAATGTGAATACATAATGAATTAGATCGATAGAGGATCCCGTTAATGAAAGGAAGACATATCTCAAAGGACTTGTATCGAAGCCAAAAATTATTAATAAAAAAAGCCAATAAAACAGAAAATAATACAAAAACAGTTTATTATATTTTACAGCTTTTTAAAAAAAATAGTGTGGTATTTAATTTGTTTGAAAACTATTCTGCCAAATAAATCATTACTGTCACAACTGTCCACCAGCCCCACTTCGAAACAATTGACAGGTGTCGTCAATTTTTACGTCAATTTTTTACCAGTTAACTTGAGCTTTGCTATAATGGACGAAAATTGCAAAATTACATATTTAATTACAGATGAAAATTGATTCCGTTTGTTTTGTAATTAGATGTTTTGCTGTTTTTCCCCACACCACCGAATGTAATAGCACGCCATTGTTAGAGATATTACCTTTATTACAATAAATACAGAATGTTTTTGAGACGTATAGACAGGTCAGTTGTTGGCGCTGTCTATATTTCAGTGCAAACGAGAGTTGATATTTATAAGTGATGTATCATTGATGAGTTACCAGGAATGCATGAACCTTATTTCGTCTCTATTTCGGGTTATATACTCGATGTGTAATTACGAACACTTTGCAGTTGGCTGTATGAGTTTTTCTTGTGCCTGTTTACATAATTCTTTATTACTAAGTAGATTTGAAAGTTTGGAGAAATGGACAGTAATAGATTTTCATAGCAGGCCTTAGCTGGGAAGAAGTCGCACGTTCCATGACAAATTTTCTGTGCTCGTTTTTTGAATCCATCTCACCTGATGAAAAGAGTCGACGACGGGGCGTATACAACTAAATAATACCTATTCACTGTCTTTTTGAAAAGGCCCAAGTTATTCCGTTCAAGGAACAAGTCTGCAGGCAGGGAATTTCACTTCATAGCCATTCGGCATATAAACGTGGAAGCTAAACGGTTCGGAATATCTACAACGTGGGGTAGAACACCAGTCTACGTCTGCTCTCCCGATGGTGGATAGGGGAGAGCGGAAATAAATTGTGCAATTCTCCGTGATATATCCTGCAGGGTACCGATAATAAAAAAGTAACTTAGCTACCTCCGTAGCCGAACGGTTATCATGCTGATCTGCCACACAGAGTTCCTGGGTTCGATTCCCGCTTTTATTTTCACGTCTATGGTACTCGCGACACAGGGCTCCCCTAGTGCGGGGCTATGAGTATTGCGTTACTGTAATTTTTATTAAACAAAAAAGGGAAAACCTTCAAACATACATGCATACAAACGGAAACTATAAAGTTAACAATCGGTTACCGAAAAGTGCGCGAAACCGGATTCATCCCCTAGTTTGCCACCCTTTCGTTTAACTAAGGTAAACGATTCTTTTATGGGGAACTGTATACGTTTTTACAATAAGATTCCGGAGAATATATTAAGGTTATCATTTCCTAAGTTTAAAGCTCACATCAAAAGAATTTTAATTGAAAAGTCTTATTACAAAATTGAAGAGTATGTTTTAGATAAAGATGTATGGAAAGACAACAAGAGTCTAGATTCCAGACAATTATGCTTCAAAGTGTATTTCATAGCATTTAAGTTTATTTGAAAAGAGCAATCCCTAGAGTTTCTTGCTCGATCTTCTCAGGGGAGGTCGGTGTAGTGAACGAGCAGTAGTTTAAAAAATGACGATTTCAAGTGTAACAATTTTACTTATGACTTAGAGGTGGAATATTTTCTTTAAATTTAAGTGGGATCAATACTGAGATATGCCCTTTCCAACAAAAAGTATATATTATCAAGTGACGCCAGATGGTAAGCTACACGCCTGTCCATAACAGTTGTGGTGCCAATCAGAGCTTTAAATCGCAAAGATCTGAAGTGCACTGTCACTGCGCCCGTCACCGAGACGTAAGTTAACAAGTCTAATGTGCCTGTAATTCACCAGCGCCCTTACCCTTCACAACCGGAACACAGTAATGCTGATTACTGCTTGGCGGCGGAAATAGGTAAGATGGCAGTTCTTCCCTGGACGAACTCTGATCTAATCGGTTCACAAATCAGTCAATCGGTTCAAAAAGTGTAATCGCGTAATATACGCACACACACACACACACACACACACAAATACAGTAAAATCATAGTTTATAACTGTAAGCCGACGTTACACTCAACGTGTTTATCTGTTTGTTGTTTGCACAAATAAATAAAATAACCAACAGCTTTTACGCTTGTTGGCGGCAAACCAACTATCGTAGACGCCATTTAATAGTATGGGCCATTTGTCGTAATTATAATGCAAAACACCGCTACTTACATAAGTTGCTTAAAATAAATCTATAAACACGTTTTGGCTAACAATTTACGAGCTGCGTAACAGTGTTTTGCGTTAGGAGCATTTAGAATTGATATTTGAACATCTCTATTCGCCTGCATTACGTAATTATGTCACCTATTGTACTATATTCTAAAGTCCAAGTTTCGGATTCATACAAGATTTACGTACACGGTTTTCATAACAACAGGTTCAAAGATGCTGATAGGGCTACCACCAAAGTATGATAACACAATTAGTCATACACTCGGAAACGTAGAGATGTCACAAAATTTTAGTTATGTCTTTCTTATATTTGTGTTATATATAACATGAAAGGTCTTGTATCTAATTATGGAGCTTGGTACTTTATTCCCAGAAAAAGTCAGGGTCAAATAATCATTTATTCCATAGGTAAAATTTTTACACTTGAAAACGAATTTTTTAAGCTACTGCACGTTCACTATGCTGACCTCCTCGAGAAGAACGAGCAAGAAACTAGGGATTGCGCTTTTCAAATGAATTAAAATTTACAAACAAACGCAAACGTACACACTCATAGCACTAGGGAAACCCTGTATCGAGGATGCCATGGATACACATATAAACAACCACAAATTACACCCAAACTCATGAGAGAAATAAATTTAGGCGTGACTACATTTATTTGTGTAACCCACATAGTTTTCATTATTATTATTACGCTTTCTAAATTTACACGTGTTTATTGATGTGTTGTAAGCCGTGAATAAATCTTTTTCTATTCTATTCTATAATTAGAGTTACCAAAAATTGGAAACACAGTGAAATTGCATATGGCCAAAGGCTGGACGCCATACTGCCAAAGAAAAAAAAATGTAACAAGAATGGCATTGATATCTAATCTGGCAATATACAGGTCCCATGGTCCGTGACCATGACCATGGGACCTGTAAAGGGCCCGAAACGTCGGTCTGTTAAACACAAATATACGCGTTTTAAATCCGGGAAATAGTTTCATTCTCTAAGTTTCATCTAATATGGCAATATATTTTTCATGGCATTGACCACTAGCGCATTACCCAAAAAAATACATAAAAATATATTCCCTTCCGTTTTACGTTACAGAGTATTAAATATCCATAACGACTTTCTCGATATTGCGCGTAAAAAGAAATTCAGAATTACTAGATTTTGCTAGCTCTTTTCAAAAAACCAACTGATAGTCTGGTTAAATTTTCCATTTATTTTAGTATCACTAACGGTACAACTCTTTTATTTTTAACCGACTCCAAAAAAAAGGTTCTCAATTCGACTGTTTTTTGTACGATGTTACGCGATAACTTTTTTTTTGTTTGTGAACCAATATTAATGATTTTTTTTTATTGGAAAGACCTTAATACCTGTTGATGTCATTTAAATTTAAGAAAATATTCCACCTCTAAGGGTGGCAAACTAGGGGATGAATCCGGTGTCGCGCACTTTTCGGTAACCGATATCAATAAAACTTGGCAAATAGATGTCATTCCACGAACTTTTGAGGTTGGTTTTAGTACTCTGTATACTGAGATTTTTTTTTTGTTCCAGTCCACAATGTCCCGCGACCGCTCATCCCGCCGGTTCTACCGGGCGGAATCCACCCACGACCTACTGTCCTTCATGGACAAAGGTCAAGCTGCCAGTGATGAGAATAGATGGACCTTCGAGACTGCTTGGGAGGCTGCTAATAAAGGTATGGTATTGGTTACATACATAAAGTATTCATTTTTGATGATATACTCGTAATTTGTTTTTATGACTCCTAATATTGCATAATTAGAAATGTAATTTACATAAAAAAATTATAAGGAATGACACTGCATGTAATTCTCAATAGTATATTTTTTATCCCGGGATGAGCCAGTACATACCCGAGATGGTGGTGGTGTCTATTATTACAAGGGTTTGTATCATCAAGTATATTATTCGGAAATAGATACGAAATGTCACTTAATTTGCTTGACACTTCAAATCGACCCGTTTAACTTGAGCTTTGCTACAATGGACAGAAATTGAAAAATTACATATTTAATATTTAATTACCAATGAAATGTGATTCCGTTTGTTTTGTAATTAAATGTTTTGCTGTTTTTCTCACACCGCCGAATGGAACCAACCCCCATTGTTAGAGATATTCTTTAATTTCTTCTTCAGAAATCTTTAATATTACAATAAATGCAGAATATTTTTGGAATGTACGGAGACGTACACACAGGTCAGTTGTTGGCGCTGTACTATTTCAGCTTTCTAATTTGTGATTTCAGCGCCTCGATGGTTTGTATTGGCTTTTAGTCTCTAGTAGAAAAAAAACAAATTCAATCGTTTTCGCTCTTTAGTACAACAAACGCACTAACGCGGGAAAATACTAGCGCGCGGCGCCACCGTCTTTGCGGAAACGGCACAGAACTAAAACCGAGCATATTACTGGCTGTTTGAGTTTGTTCACTCGAAATAAGTTAAAAAATTAGGTTTTAATGTCTAGCGATTGAAGGATGCACTTTACTCCCGCTACATATACCTATAATGACGTATTTTGAACCGGCTTCAAAAAGGAGGAAGTTCTGAATTCGACTTGGACTGTATGTTTTTTTGTACCTATGATTCTGTTTTTATTGGAAAGAGGCTACCTCAGCAGTGGTCCCATTTTAATTTTAAGAAAATATTCCACCTCTAAAGGTGGCAAACTAGGGGATGACTTTTGAGGTCGGTTTTTTTATTACTTTGTACTGAGATTATTAGAGCAAACAGAGAAGTCAAAAATACCTTTTATTTTATTGTAGGTAAAGCTAGTATAATACTTCTAAAACTATGTGGGTTACACACAGTTGTAGCTGAAAACCACTTTCAAAAATCTTTATTGAATAAGACATTAAAGTTATCACTATTTTAAGAACTTTAATAAATAGCTCATTATTCAAAATCGAATATTTTGCATTGTGTCGCCATCATTCTCAATAAAATTTGAAGTCTATAGAAATGCAAAGTTAAATTCAGAATATAAAAAAACAGTTAATAAGACTAAATTGAAATTGGATGTGCAGCGTTCAGATCACAACATAATTTACAACAAAGAAAACCTGAAGAACCTGTCTCCACTGCAATACGAAGTCACTCTGTCTTAAGCAAACACAATAAACCCTTCTAGTGTTACTTTACCGAATTACCTTGGGCTAGCTTTAGAAGCATCGTAGCGCATTACAAAGAAAAATCGACCTTATGTCAAGTACCAACAAATCAAACTCAAGGAACAGACGAGAAATATTTTTGTAATGGCGTCAAAAATATGCAATAATCTACCGAAAGTGACAAAACAACGTTTAAAGGGCCTACCTGTAAAGGGCTCGAAATGTTGGTTTGTGTGAAAAAACAAGTATACGCGATTTAAATTATTAACATTATGTACGAAGGTGCGCAATTATATAATAAACTACCAAAGGGTATAAAACAAGCTAAATCAATGTTCACCTTTAAAAAACTTCTACATCACTATATAACCCATAATTTTCATTCATCAATCTAAAATAAATAAAAGACTATAACAACTGAAAACTATTTAACCAAAGTAAAAACCACTAAACCTAAATTAAAAACATTGCTCAAAAATATAACCTGCTATAACCATAACTTACTATAAAAATAAGACGTAATATAAAATACAACCATTATTTTTACTATAATTATACAATATTAAAAAGTTGAAGGAAGTCGCAGGTAGCAGCTAGTAATAAACAAAATTTTAAAATTTGATCATAACACGAAATAAATATAATAACATACTTCAAACAACAAAAAACATCAATGTCGCTTCCAGATGCACTCAGTGATATATCTGTTAAGTTTGGAAACAATAAATTTCTACCCTACATTTTAAAAATTAGAATTGATCATCACACTACCTTCTATATGATAGTATACAAAATTGCAGTCTTAGTGAATTTAATTTAATTTTTGTTTTTGTTACTAATTTGTGTCTTTGTAATTTATAAGTGAGTTACATTACAAAATAAGCTAAGTGTTTGTGATGGATACGCTATAAAGCCCGAATTTTTGGCTAATATGAATGTGAAATTTCTCATGTAAGTGAATTTTGTAATAATTCTTATGAGAAAATAAATATTTCTTAAATCGTAAATCTGGAAAAATAGTATCATTTGCTATTTGTAACAATCGCTATAAGAACTCGATAAACCATATGCTATTTTAAAAACAATTAAACAACTCGTAATGTCAAGATGATACCACCATGATAACAGTCCTTAAAAATAAAACCACATTAATCGATGTTTTTCACAAAAAGCTTCTAAATTACACGTTTGTGCTGGTAAAATTAAAAAATATATAGCTTTTTTTTTCTAATAAAAGTTATTTAAATTTTTATTGTATTTGTATTCAATTATTTTTTGTGAAATTACTCCACTAGTTTGTTATAATTATTAATACAAAGATTGAACACTCAGAAAAAATTTCAGCGATCCGGTCGGATTCGAACCGATGTCTTCTTGCATACCGTGTCAGACGCTATACTAACTAAGCCACGGAACGAACCACCGGACCTCACGAAGTTTTCTATGTGCGTGCGTCGTGTCTTTGCGTTAGTCGTAGCAGTGAATAGCGTCATCTCGCCAGGACTGGTAGCTGTAAAGGTACTAACTGAGTGATAAATCTTTCATAGATTTCTCATAGATAGAGCTACGACTAAAAAGTCGTTGAAATACCAAATCTTTGTATTAATAATTAAAAGTTACTTATTTTTTATTATTGAGTTTTACCTCCAGAAAGATTCTGATTTTTTTTACTACGGCTATGAAATTTTGTCACTTATGTAGTTTTACCTTTAAGTAGACGATATTCAATAATTAACTGCCTCCGTGGCCGAACGGTTACCATGCCGGGAGAAACATTTGTATGGCCTGTATTTATTCCTCTCCTGAGTTTGGGTGTAATTTGTGGTTGTCTATGTGTGTGTCCATGACACCCACGACATAGGGTTTCCTTAGTGCGGGGCTATGTTGAGTGTGTGCGTAATTATAAAAAAAGTGTGAAATTACTCAACTAGTTTGTTATAATTATTAAAAAAACGAATACTTAGAAAAAAAATATTTCGATCCGGTTGGATTCGAACCAACGTCTCCCAGCAAACCGTGTCAGACGCAATGCGAACTAAACTTACTTTTTTATGACGAGACGTACAAGTCGTGCGCCTGGTGGTAAGCGACGCGTCTGTCCATAACCATTGCACTGCCACATCGCAAAGATCTGAGGGGCAACGTTACTGCGTTTGTCACCTTGAGAGGTCAAAGCCAAATAATCATTCATTCCATAGGTAAACTTTTTACACTTAAAAACGTCATTTTTCAAGCTACTGCTCGTTCACTACACTGACCTCCCTGAGAAGAACGAGCAAGAAACTCTAGGGATTGCTCTTAAATGCTACAGAATACACTTTGGAACATAATTGTGTGGAATCTAGACTCTTGTTGTCTTTCCATACTTCTTTATCTAAAACTTGACTTTTCAATGAAAATACTTTTAATGTAAGTTTTCAACTTAGGAAATCACAATCTTAATATATTCTTCGGAATCTTATTGTAAAAACGTATACAGTACCCCATAAAAGAATCGTTTACCTTAGTTAAACGGAATCGCGGTACTATGAGTTTGGACTTAGTTTTGCGTTTAATACATACAAAATATTTGAGTAACTGTACTGTGATATCACAGTCATGATACCAGTCCCCTTAAACTTTTCTCTGAGAGAAACCCGAGAACCTAAACGGTGCACACGGTACACAGACCGAATCGCTCGTTTTTGCAACACAAATATGGTTTGTATACGAGTATCTGCCCCTTTACCCCACATATACGGACGTAAGTTGACAAGTTGCCTGTGGCTGTGTACAGTTTGGCGATAGAAATAGGTAAGGTAGCAATACATCCCTGGACGAACTTATTCACAAGAAGCCCTACTGCTAGTGATATATATTCATAATGTTTTTTTGTTTCAGTTGGCGGTATTTACACTGTAATCCGATCGAAGGCGTATGTTTCTACCGAGGAGATGGGCGAGAATTATTGTTTGCTCGGTGAGTACTGTGGAGTCTGGAGCTCCATAAATACCAGGACCATCCACCACACACAATTGTATCAAAATCTACTTTCAATTTAAAAATCTGTGTGGTTTATAGTACTGATTTCACTTCACGTAGGTACTTCTGTTCTTTTCTAAAATTTCCCTTTTACTTATTATATTAGAACACATTAACTATCACCTACTTACTATATAATAGGTTATTTTAGATAAAATAAAAAAATAAAGTCGTATTTATTTCACTTCGAAAGTACATTATAACTGCCTCCGTGGCCGAACGGTTACCATGCCGGACTGCCATGCAGAGGTCCCAGGTTCGATTCCCGGGCCGGGAGAAATATTTGTATGGCCTACATTTATTTGTCTCGTGAGTTTGGGTGTAATTTGTAATTGTCTATTTGTGTGTCCATGGCACCCGCGACACAGGGTTTCCCTAGTGCGGGGCTATGTCGAGTGTGTGCTCGAAAACTAAATAATTCGTTCATAAATACAAAAAAACAATAGAAAAAATAGGAAATACTAATAATAGAAAGAAAGTTAAAACAAATAAGCAAAAAAATAAAAAGCATGCTATAAAGGTCCATGACTCAGCATTTAAGGACTATGCTAATTACATAGCTCACGCTGATATGCTGCCGTGGCCTGTCATAAACATAGAACACCACAATTAAAAAAATATATATAAAAACAAAATTCAAATACGTTAGTACAATCAGACACTAAATAAATAAAATTAAATCTGACACACACAATATTTAGACATGAAAATAATCAAATTGAAGAATAATAACCTGCAGACATTGATCTACGCAGAAAACTGTCGTTTGAACGTTGGTAGTGCTGGATACACTGCCGTCCATTACGCATTATATAGATGCATTATTTACACTACCTGAACCCGTTGCAATGTTTTTAAAAGAATAAAAAACTTTTCTTGAAGTGCATCCGTAAAATAACTGCCTTTTTAGCTGCAGACACTTGCTCAAACAACTTGATGTCCACTTGATGTTTTAAAATGATTCCAATATCTAAACCGTTAAAACCAAAAACCAAAGCTCTGCAACAAGCATCTAGAGAAATTCGTTATCTTCTGACTCGTTCTGTAGCTCAGTTGCGAGAGCGGTAGCCCCGGTTTGGCGAAAGTTGCTGGTTCAGATCCAGCCGGAGCGAAATAATTTTTCATGTTTGTTTGTTCTTTGTATGAATAATAACAACAAACTAGCGGAGTATATTTACAAAAAAAAAATCATTTTAATAAAAAAATATATGATATATAAGATAAATATCACGTTCCGTGGGTTGTAGGGTGTAGGGCTGTCACATTATTATTTTAGTTCTATTTTAAAAATAGCACTGGGCTTTATTGATTGTCTGGAGTTTGCTATCACTAAGAGTTCTCTCTAATTATCTTGGAATCACTTTTGGTTGTACCCCCGGCCTGACTAATTACAGGCTAAACTAGTTTAGGTAGCGAGCAAGCAATAATTTGAACATTTTATGTAACACTTCCTCGCCCCGCGACGGAGCGCGGAGCTGCGTTTTTTAATATTGTACTGAAGTATCTCAGTTTGTATGGAAAAAATGCTCCGTCGAACACACTGACACCGTGTGGAGGGGCGCGGCGAACAGCAGGGTATGGCACATTGCGCTCCACACTACCGCGCAGATTTTTCAGCTTAAGGACATGTTCAGTTTTCTACAATAGATCTCGACGTCGATAAATTCATATTTGCTATTGAAAATCGACCAAATTTAACTTCATGTTTTCTTAAATCTTTGTAATGAAGTTGAAATTATCCATTTATCGATCTGGTTGGTGAAATGGGATGTATCCAATATCGTCGGTGTCTTTTTATTTGAATAAACAAAAACCAAATAGATGCGCGCGGTTTAATCTGCGCGAGAGCAGCGGTAGGGCCGTCCCCGCGCCACTCAAAGTACTCGCTTCGTAGTTGATTGCCGTAGTGATTGCACATGTAGCTGAGATCCTTTTTTGACAAGAATGGTTAATAATACATACCTCATTCAGGATGCTGCAGTTATACTGTCGATTGTTTTTGTTTACTCAAATAATAAGACACCGAAGATAACATTTAACTTCATTACAAGGATTTAAGGAAATATGAAGATTAATTTTTCAACTACACACGAATGTCAACTGAGTCCTTTGATTATTTGTTAGCAAACATCCGAACGACAATTACTGGAATACACACAAATTGATTACAGAAGCGTTGTCAGTGTGTTCGGCGGCGCGTGTTTTCCATACAAACTGAGGTACTTCAGTACAACGTAAAAAAACGCAGCTTCGCGCTCCGTCGCGGGGCGCGGTGCTGTGTGTTAATCGCTTGTGTGATTTCGGCAATGAGAGCACTGATGAGCACTTCTTTGACTCTTAGGGTCGTATTCTAGAACCCTATTCTAGAAGGTTTAAAGCACTCGAAATCATACTCAAGTCCTTGCCAATAGGGTCGTATTTCCAGTGCTTGAAATCATACTCAGATCCTGACTTGAGCATTGAGTAGAGTTCTGGAATACAGCCCTTAGTGAGGCTTACAACTTCTGTGGTATTTCTGTTTTATTATTTTATATAATAAGTTAGGTAAATTGTGCGTCCAGATTCCTTGTTATTTTTTTATTTGTGAGGATTTTTAATTTCTTTTTATAACATCAAGTCACGGGATGAACAAGTCGAGCGCCTAATGGTAAACTACACACCTGTCCATAACAATTCGACTTATCCGAAGAACAGAGTCCAATGTGATTATATAGCGAAAAGAGAATAAGTGCGTTACGAGCATTGACTTACAATTATATGGACGTCGGGTCCGCGCTAAAAAGTGTCCGCACTTATAAGGCGCTAAAATCGTATACAGAGCGCTACAAACTCCGCTTTAGTCTTCATTTGTTCTACTGACAGCGCGATACTGCGATGACATTACAATTTAAATTTCGAATAGGTTGACTTGGGACATTTTTCTCGTGGTTTTTGTATTAGACCCGTCGTCCATTTATTTGTAAGTCAATGGTTACGAGAATAATTTTCTTATTCAAACTAAGGCCTACGTAAAGGTGTTTTGAGAATTTACATATCTTATTTCATTTCGGAAATTTAAAATTGAGCAACGGTCGATCTGACATCCACAGCGAAGAAGAACGAACGAAATGTACTATGTCCTGAGAACAAGTAGTCTTGCACATACATCTTTGTTCTACGGATGAGTCGAATTCCAGTGCCATTCAGGGCTTTAAGTCGCAAAGATCTGAGGGGCACTGCCACTGTGTCCGTCACCCTGAGACATAAGTTGACAAGTCCCGTGTGCCTGTGATTTCACCAGCACCCTTACCCTGCAAAACCGAAACACTTTCACAAGGAGCTCTACAGCTACTAAAATTGCTAAATAAACAACAACTTTAGTTCCATGACTGTCACTAATTAATCACGTTTTGGTTTCGTGCATATACAAACATATTTAAATACACCGATCTAAACGTATTAGATCGATTTATTATTATCGCATATTATTAATTATCGCATAACTCTGTGCGATAAAAGAAAGCGTTTGGGGTCGTCGAAGAATACGCTTGCACGTTTAAACTTTACTGCCTTACTACCAAATAACAAGCTGAAATGTGTCAGATGGATTAAAATTTTTTTTTGGTGCATCTTCTTCTTCGTTTTACTCAATGGCGGTTCCTTCTTTTTAAGATTTCGCCAGTGTCGAGTTTTCCGCTTAGCAGAATGTAAGGGTTTCTGTAAATATGTAAATATGGCCGCCACAAAGAGGATAGGCAAATTGAGGCGGCGTGCTTGGATTGACTCGGGATTCCTTAAAACGGGCCGATACGGGTATTTTAGTTCGAGATTCGTATAATTTCGCGTTTTAATCTTCGATTAAGGCACAATAGCACTATCCTATTCCACTTTAAACTAGATTTCACAAAATAATTGAAACTCAAAATAAAAACGACACTTTTCCCTCCAAAAGGTCCAGAGCGAAATGTTGGTGAATCTGTCATGTTTTAAAATTTTTATTGAATTGACATTCAATTACTTTTTTATATTCAACTTATGTGAAATTACTCCACTAGTTTGTTATGATTATTAATACAAAGATCGAACACTCAGGAAAAATTCCTCCGATCCGGCCGGATTCGAACCGACGTCGTCTAGCATACCGTGGCAGATGCCATACTAACTAAGCCACGGAACGAACCAGCGGACCTCACGAATTTTTCTATGTGCTTGCGTCGTATAAAGATACGTATTTGGTTTCTCAACGACTTTTTAGTCGTTGAGAAACCAAATAGTAGCGTCATCTATGAGAAATCTGTAATATTTCGTCACCTAGTTATGTTTTGTTAAAACTCATGGAACAAACAGTAGTAGCAGCAAACAGCAGTAAAGCAGTAGAGCCTTCATGCGATCATGAAGGCTCTACTGCTACTAAAAAACTAAAATAATCAATGATAATGACTGATAATAATTATTGGGTTTAGATTACTGAATGAATCTTTAAAAGATGTTATTAATAAATAAGGCCTTTATATTGTTTAGTTGTTTAACTTATTTTATCTACACACATATCATAAACACTCTATAATGTGTTCAAAAACCGCAAATTACGACCAGCATAAAGGTAAATTTCTTATCTGTGAAAATGTTATTATTGCTTCATATTAACCTTATTTTTTTCCATCCTCTAAGATATTAACATCGAATTCGATTTTATTATGACACTCAAATTACGAACATTTTCGAAAAGCGCATTGACTTACAAATAAATGGACGACGGGTCTAATACAAAAACCACGAAAAAAATGTCCCAAGTCAACCTATTCGAAATTTAAATTGTAATGTCATCGCAGTATCGCGCTGTCAGTCGAACAAATGAAGACTAAAGCGGAGTTTGGCGCTCTGTATACGATTTTAGCGCCTTACAAGTGCGGACACTTTTTAGCGCGGACCCGACGTCCATATAATTGTAAGTCAATGGAAAAACGAAACAATTTAGTTCGACCTCAATTCTAATATCAGTCGAGATTAAGTTTTATTCGAATTGAAATGTTAATAGCAAACAATTTTGACAAATTTCACACGTTACTTAATATCGTACGATATGATAATTGGGGCCGACTCTAGTTTGTCTATGAATTAAATAAAAACTACGGTTGCGTGAGATGCGCGAGAAAAGTTTTTATTTGCCGCCATTTCGCCAGTCGTAACGTGCGGTTTCTGAACACATCACAGAAAGCTTATAATATGTGCGTAGATAAAGCAGTGTATGTAACTATACATAATTAGGCATTAAAACATTTGTGTGATGTTTTTGTGAAACTCACCTGTCGGCTCGTTTCATAAACCCACACTCGTATTTTAATGCCTGTCATTATGTAACAGACACATAAACAACTATACTTTTCTCATAAGAATAAATAATATTTCAGGGCCATACAAGGAACAATGTGCTCGTACTGAAGTTGAGGAAGCGGACTTTCCGTCTAATTCTCCCCTTCATGCCGCCGTTACCGCTTTGAGACACCAGGGTTACAAGGTGATTTTGAAATATTACATTATTGCATAGACCGGGAAGTAAGATATTGCCGGACAAGTATGTGTTATATGCGTCAGGCAATCCCCGTTTTCACCGAGGTGTATATAGTGCTTTTCTCAAACAATGCTAGGAAATGTTATAATTATTGATACAAAGATCGAACACTCAAAAAAAAAAACACTCAGAAAAAATTCATTCTTTAGTCATTTATTATTTCCTAGCATTAATTAAATTTTTATTGAATTTATATTCAATTATTTTTTGTGAAATTACTCCACTAGTTATAATTATTAATACGAAGATCGAACTCTCAGAAAAAAATCCTTAGATCCGGCCGGATTCGAACCGACGTCTTCTAGCATACCGTGCCAGACACTATACCAACTAAGCCACGAAACGAACCAGCAGCAGACCTCACAAATTTTTGTATGTAGTTGCGGTAAAAACAGTTGACTTAAAATAACCAAATCACGAAAAAAAAAATTTCGACATCATTTTCCCTAAATTATTATCATGTTTTTTGACATGTTATTGTTTATCATCATCCAGATATACTTACAAATATATTTTTTACAGCTTCACACAGGTACGTGGCTTGTGGACGGTAACCCGCAGATAATTCTGTTCGATATTGGCTCTGGCGCGTGGCAATTAGACAGCTACAAACAAGAGCTCTGGGATACATGCGCGTTGGGTATCCCGCACCTTGATATTGAGGCTAACGATGCTGTTATTTTGGGCTTTATGGTCGCACAGTTTATTAGTGAGGTAAGTGAATACGTGTAGATAATAAATCTGCGGCTCTAGTAAAAAGGAGTAAAAGTAAAAAAAACCCACTTTACAAGAAAACGCGAAAAACACTTAACGCTTAATATTATATTAAGCTTTTAACTGTTTTTCGCGTCTCCTTGTAAAGTTGGCTTTTTTTACTTGTATCCCTTTTCACTAGAGCCACAGAAATATTCTCAAACAGACATAGATACAATGGACTCAGACTAATTAAAAAACGCTCTAATTAGAAATAACATACAGGAAATAGACATATGGACGATATTCAAATTCAAATTCAAAATAATCTTTATTTCATAGGTAAGCATTATTACACTTGAAATCGTCACAATGGTTAAACTCTACCGCTCATTCGTAAGGCAGATTCCCCTGAGAAGAATGAGCAAGAAACTCTAGGGGTTGCTCTTTGTAAATAACATTTACAATATTTTTATTTTTTTATTTGCAACATCAGAGATCGAGACTACCTCCATGAGCTAAACGGGTTACTACCACGGATTTTTGTCAGCCAAGTACACAGAAGTTGTATTAATAACCTTTAGTATAAAGTTTTTGTTTCACAATAGTTTTAAACCTCGTGAAAGGCAAATTTTGTATATCAACCGGAATCTTGTTATAGAAGCGTATACATTGCCCCTTAAATGATTTTTTGACTTTGTGAAGACGACTATCAAGAAAAGCTAGTTTATTTTTATTCCTCGTATTAATGTTATGTCTGTCACTATTTTTCATAAAGAAATTACTATTCCTTTTAACATAAATTACATTTTCATAAATATTTATAGATAATTAGAAATAAAAGACTTGAAATAGACGAATAGACATTAATTACAAACAACATTCTCGTAATAGACATATAGACGTTAAATCAAAACAAACAAACAAAAAACTCGAGATACACAAATAGACACTAATTAGACACGACAAATTTAAAATAGAGACTAATTAGAAACAAAAGACTCGAAATAGACACTGATTAGAAACGTCAGACTCCAAATAGACAACAAGACTGTATAAATATTAAGAAGAGTGCGGTGAGACAGTGCAGCTATAGGCATAGAACACGTAAGATCTTATGGAAGGATTGTTTTTATAATATTAGGGGTTAAAGTATGAAATTGCCGTTTTATTGCAA